GAGAGAGAGAGAGAGAGAGAGCGAGAGAGAGAGAGAGAGAGAGAGAGAGAGAGAGAGAGAGAGAGAGAGAGAGAGAGAGAGAGAGAGGAGAGAGAGAGAGAAAGAAAGAAAGAAAGAAAGAAGAAGAAGGAATAACACCGCTTTTATCGTTCACGTCATTTTTGCCTAACATTAATTCATCATATTTATTTACCTATTTTCACATTCCTCTAATTCCTCTAATTCTGTGCTTTTCCACACGGTTTCACATTCATTTTCGCACGTTTTTCACCACCTTTTTAAAAATCTTTGACCTGATTTTTCACATGTTTTCAATTTGTTTTAGAGCTAATCACTTCAAATCATATCACTTTCGAAATTCTATATAATAAGACTAATTTTTTTCAGTGTTATTTTTTCATGTGATTTTAACATGATTTAAGAGTGATTCGCTTGATTTCATAAATAAAAATAAATATGATTCTAGCAATAGCGATGATAATAAAGATAATGATAACAACAATAACAATTATAATAATATTAACAATGATAAAGATCATAATAATAATAATAATAATAATAATAATAATAATAATAATAATAATAATGGTGATGATAATCATAACAATAACAACAACAACAACAACAATAATAATAATAACGATAATAATAATAATAATAATAATAATAATAATAATAATAATAATAATAATAATAATAGATAAATTATTATTATTATAAAAATCATAATAATAACTATAACAATAATGATATTAGTAAAAAATAATAATAATGACAATAATAATAATAATATTCCCAGTAACAATACTACTAATAATAACAAATAATAATAATGATAATGATAACTATGATGATGATAATGATGATAAAAGAACTGATAATAATGTTAATCACAACAATGATAATAACAATAATAATGATAATAATAACAATAAAAGCAATAGTGATAATAATAACAATAACAATGAAAATATAATAATAATAATAATAACAATAGTAATAATAATGATGATAGAAATAATATTGATGATGACAATAATGATAACATCAACAACAAACAATAATGATAATAATAATAATAAAAACAACAACATCTACAACAACAATGCTAAGAATAATTATGAAAATAGTAATAATAATTATAATAATGATGATAATAATGACTATTATATAATCATAACAATACATTGCTAAATCATGGTAATAATGGTAATATGTAATAATAACGATAATAATAATAATAATAATAATAATAATAATAATAACAATAATAATAATAATAATAATAATAATAATAATAATAATGATAATAATAACAACAACAATAACAATAATAATAATAACAATTATAATGATTAAGAGGAAGAGCAACACCGATGATAATAACCCTCATGATTATTATCATTATTGTCATCATTATTTATAAAGGATTAAAAATAACAATAATGAATATGATGATAATACTGCTGTTGTTAGTGAAAATATCAACGCAAAGTTAATAACAATAAGAATAAGTATAGATTAAGCTAAATTGACGACAATAACAATAACAATATTAGTAATAACGATTAGTAATAACTAATAATAATTATAATACGATTTTGTTAATGTTATACGCTCACCAACTAATGGTGTCCACCTGGATCAAAATTATTATTGCTATATATTTTTTCGCAACAATTTAAACAACGAAGATAAAAATAACAATAAAATCGTCCACAAAATCACAACACTTTATTCAAATCAAGTGGAAATAACAAGCACTATCATACATATCAAATAACAACTTCCTCCTTCACAACAAGACACGTATTTGCAATGATTCTCACGTGATATAAAACTTCCTGATCCCGAGTTAAAAACACTATATCCTTCCTCCTTCTTTCCTGGGGCGAGACTGACGGATAACATTACGGTCACTGTACCCGTGAGTTCCGTCTTCAGGACACGCCCCCTTTTTCTTCCCGATAACGCTATTTCCTTTTCGTGATCAGCTGTTTCTATTCATTTTTTTCTGTTTTTGGTTTTTATGAATCTGTTATTTTGAATTTTGTTGATTGGCAAGTAAATTTGGTTTATATATTACGTTTTTATTGAGGATATACAGGTAGGAAAAAAGGTTATGGAATGTATGTACCAAGGTCGTGTGGGCGGAGTCATAACGCTTCCCGTTTTCTTTCACGTTTTCTTCCGGTTGAGGGGTGACTCGTCTAGAACGCGAAACTCTGTGATATGAAAGTGCATGGTTCATCGGTTAGCTAATTGTTGTAAATGGAAATTTGCTTAATACGGATGGCGGTTCGCGAAGAAAGTTCTCCTGTCGTGTTTTCTTTCTAGTGAAACTGCAGAGAAATTGCGTTCCAGTTTCTTTTCGTTCCTGAGGGTAAAGGTGATCAGTATAAAGTTGGTTAATATCATTAATTAATAATATTAAAAATTTTTATTGATGCATTTTCTGAATGATCAAATATACAGTTAAAGAGAAATAAATGTTGATATCTTGTTTCTGTTTTTTTTAATTACGTTAGAAAATTATTGACGTATAAAATAAACTTATTTCTTACAATTCGCCCAAATACACACACGAACACAGACACAAACTGAACGCTGTATTCTTTGACAAAAGAAGTCATATAACGATTCATGAAAATAAAAAAAAACTAGTTTATCTAAAAATTGTAATAACTAGTTTATCTAAGAAAGTAGGTATTTACACGTAAACAACTATACCATTTAACACATCGTTATCGTAATGAAACAAAGGTAAATTCATCTACCTTGAAGATGATTAAAAGAACATGAATTCAGAAAGCAGAAAATGAAAAAAAAAAAAAAAAAAACTCACTATCATCGACAAACAACTGAAACAGTATCGTCTAACAAGAACAATAGAAACGATTAAACTGCATATTTCCCTATTTACTCTCCTAAGTCCTCATTCTCTCGTGTCGCATTGTTTCACCGCAGTTTCTCTTTATCAATCACGTCCCTTGTTGCTCTTTCCTCTTCGCTCCGCCTCTTTCCTGACATTTCCATATGGCTGCGTGAAAGTCGAGGTTCTCGCTCGGACGAAAAAAAAAAAAAAAAAAAAAAAAATCCGAAGCAAAACTCTACGTGACGGACACACCACGTTTCGGAGTCGTGTTCCTGTCCATGCCTTGTACACAAGCACACATACTTGTATATGTATATATATGTACACACACACACGCACACATCCACACACACAAAAACACATATACATATATGTGCATATATGTATACATAATATGTATGTATATATATGTATATATATATGCATGTATGTATGCATATATATGTACACACACACACACGCAAAGACACACACACATCCACACACACAAGTATATATAGAGAGAGACATAGATATATGTGCGTGTGTGTATCAGCTCATTGAAAGACTGACAGACAAATGCCAAGCAGAACAGGCAGATGAATATACACATCTAAGCACTTCAGCTTAATCTCCACAAGAAGTCATTGTTATTACTAAGCATCAACTGGTATCTTATCTTTGAAATATGTGGCATTCCTTATCGGTCTGAGGTTCGCCCAAGGTTGAAAAGGCTCATTTAATTGGCCTTAGATTATTCCAACACCGTCAAGGATGAATATTTGAATATGTTAATGTGATATTATGTGTAATAATATATATATATATATGTATATATATATATATATATATATATATATATATATATATATATATATATATATGTGTGTGTGTGTGTGTGTGTGTGTGTTGTGTGTATGTGTGTGTGTGTGTGTGTGGATGTAGTATACGCACACACACACACAACACACACACATGACACATACAACACACCACCACACACACACACACACACACACACACACACACACACACACACACATATATATATTATATATATGTATCATATATATATCCTTGTTTATATACTATATAATATATATATATATATTATCAAGTGTAGATACTATTATATTATTATATCATATGTGTGTGTGGCTGTGTGTAAATATGTATATTTCTATATTAACATATATTATATACTAAATGGATGTTTACATATAGATATACATATATTTTAATATGTAATGTTATGTATGTATACATTTGTTTGTTGTGTTTGTGTATGCATAACATATATTATTAATATATATAATTATATTCATATATATATTGTATAGATACGAACACACACCATTCTACACACACACACACATTCACATCACACACACATACACACCCACACACACACACCACACACACATCACACACTATATACTAATATATATAATATATATTATACATTATATATTATGTATATATGTTATATATATGTATATATTATTTAATGTGTGTTTTGTGGTTTTTTTTTTTTTTTTTTTTTTTCTTTTTTTTTTTTTTTTTTTTTTGGTGTTTGGTGTGTTTGGTTTTCTTTTTTTTTTTTTTTTTTTTTTTTTTTTTTTTTTTTTTTTTTTTTTTTTTTTTTTTTTTTTTTTTTTTTTTTTTTTTTTTTTTTCTTCCTTTTTTTTTTTCTTTTTTTTTTTTTTTTTTTTTTTTTTTTTTTTTTTTTTTGTTTTGGTTGGTTTTTTTTTTATGCTTTTTTTTTTTTTTTTTTTTTTTTTTTTTCTTTTTTTTATTTTTTTTCTTTTTTTTTTTTTTTGTGTTTTGTTTTTTTTCTCATTTGTTTTTTTTTTTTTTTTTTTTTTCTTTTTTTGTTTTTTTTTTTTTTTTTTTTTTTTTTTTTGTTTTGTTTGGTGTTGTTTTTTTTTTTGCTTTTTTCTTTTGACCTGGGTTTGTTTTGGTTTTTTTTTTTCTTTTTGTTTTTTTTTTTAACATACATATATATACATATGTATATATATATATTATATAAACACACACTACCACACACAACAACACACACACACACACACACAACCACACAACACCACACACAAATATATATAGTATATATATATTATTATATATCATATATTTATATACAACAATGAGACATGCAGAGTCAGGAAAGGTCTCTAAATCATTATCGTGCACAGGCAACATCAATGCACGGGCATGCGGCTGCTTCGTGCTTGGTATCAGTCAAGATCCAGACGAGATGGGTGAAGTGGTTTGCGAACAATTTTGTGTTGTGTGTTCTCGAATTTAAGTTGTCATTTGTTGAGGAAAATTCTTTATGATTATGACAGTCGTGTCGTAGCCTTGTGTTTGTCTTATATGTGTTATTTTAAGATACCGAGTCAGTTTTATTACAATGTATAGAGATCACCAATTTTTATAGAATAACAGTCGTGTCCCGTAATCGCCTTGCATGAATGTGTTCATTTTCTATAACCCTATAATTCAAATCCAAATTTTATTTAGAATCCTGTTTAGTAAATCCTTTTAATCTTTAATTCAATCCCAAGATTTTATGTGTGTTTCATATCTTTCAGATTTTATTTAGATTGTCTATCTAATCCTCCTTCAGATTTTGTGTCTACCAATCCCTTAGATTGTCTATCCATAATTCCTGCGTATCTAATCTTCTTTCAGATTCGAATCCAATCTCATTTTCAGATCCTGTGTCTATATCTTAATTCCTCTTTACCAATTTTATACTAATTAATCCTTTAATAATAATGTAAATTATAATATATATATCCAATATAATTTCAGATCTCTGATTCTGTACTAATCCTGTTTTTAGATCATTCGTTCCAATCTAATCCGTTTATAGTTCTGCGTAATCCTGTTAGAATCGCTGTTTCAGATCCTGTGTCTAAATCCTGTTCAGTATCCAATCCCCTTTTAATCTGTGTGCTGTCTAAATCCCTGTTTAAATGGTCCAATTCCAGTTTCAATTCGGTTTCAGATTCGGTATCCAATCCCCTTTTAGATCCTGCGTCTAATCCTGTTTAAGATTCGGTATCCAATCCTGTTTCAAATCCTGTGTCTAATCCCGTTTCAGACTCCTTCGACGTGGCTGTGATCGGGGGCGGGATCATGGGCAGCTGCACCGCCTACAGCCTGGCCAAGGCGGGCAAGTCTACCGTGCTGATTGACAAGGTAAAGGCAGCGGGCTTTGTATTCTGTCTGTCTGTTTTTTGGTGTCTTTGTTTCTGTCTCTGTCTGTCTGTCTGTCTGTCTCTCTCTCGCCTGCTCCCTTTCTCCCTCTTCTCTTTTCCCCTCTCTTTCTCTCTCACTCCCCCCCCCCCCCCCCCCTCTCTTATCTCTCTAGGGGAGAGGGAGAGGAAGGGAGAGAGAGAAAGAGGGGGAGAAGAGAGAGAGAGAAGAGAGAGAGAGAGAGAGAGAGAGAGAGGGAGGAGGGAGGGAGGGAGGGAGGGAGAGAGAGAGAGAGAGAGAGAGAGAGAGAGAGAGAGAGAGAGAGAGAGAGAGAGAGAGAGAGACGCTAAGGTTTTCCTCTAATTTCCAATCAGTTACATCTTGTATATATGAGCAAATCACATAGCATTTCTACAATTGCAACTCCTTATTATCTCAGGTGGAAGTACCTTATCTTTTCTTATCAATCAGTTTTTTGTGCTTTTTGTATGTCCATAGGTGGTTAAAGTGCTAAAAAAAGAAGAAGAAAAAAATAGGCCTTACACGAGTTATCTGATATCCTGTTTCCTTTTGTTGGTTAATAATAGTGATGTAGATAATGCCATTATTATCATTATCAGGATTATCATAATATTATTAAAATAATTCCAAAACACTTTTCCGAAAGCCAAAGAAAAAGGTAAACAATTGAATTATGTAGAGCTAGTAATTGCCTCCTCGACCACTAAGTACATATAAGACCACTCCAATTAATAAACAAAATTCACAGTTGACGTGACCAGTATCAACATACCATCCAGGCGATAGTGGGATAGAGTCATCCTCCTCAAACCTCCCCATATTCTTTATCTCTCGTGCTTTCGACAACAGTTCCTGCGTAAGTCGCTTCACAGGCACTTCATATGTACATTTGGCGTTTATGTTCTTTGGTGTAAGACTCTTTTTGCTTGGACTCCCGGCGAAATTCTGTTCTTTCGTATCAAATAAAGATTAGCAAAGATTTTTCTACATAAATATTATTAGGATTCGGCATTCTCGCATTTCGAATATTGTATTGTAAAAATGTATATATATTCTTTTATCATATTCACTAACTGATATACAGAGAATACGGTAAATGGTTATATTATCTAAACCACTGCATTGGCTAAGCAGGGATAAAGTAATCCATATCGTTGACAGAAAAATGTGGCAGAATTAGTATGAATATCACAAATTAAGATGCAGACCATATCCTCGCGTGTGTTCGTCTATACTATTAATATTGCGTGTCAAATTCGTACTTAGATTCATTTAGATATTAGAAATAACGCTTCTCTAACAGGTCTTTCTCTTCCTAATCACCTATTCACTTGTCCAAACAGCTGATCGAATGTAAACAAACAGGCTTGCCAACATCTCTCTCGCTCTCGCTCTCGCTTTCTTTCACTCTCTCCCTCTCTCTCTCTCTCTCTCTCTCTCTCTCTCTCTCTCTCTCTCTCTCTCTCTCTCTCTCTCTCTCTCTCTCTCTCCTCTCTCTCTCTCTCTCTCTCCCTCTCTCTCTCTCTCTCTCTCTCTCTCTTCTCTCTCTCTCATTCTCTCTCTCTCTCATTCTCTCTCTCTCTCTCTCTCTCTCTCTCATTCTCTCTCTCACTCATTCTCTCTCTTCTCTCTCTCTTAGCAAAGAAATAAACCACGAACAATTTATTATTCTGATTTACTTACTGTGGCAGTCGCTTAAGAGAACTGTAGAGAAACGGCGATCATCGCGTATATATATGACAAGACGGAATACACATGAATCCTTGATTTCAATACAATTTGATAAATTGTTTTGAAATCTTCAGAAGTGTTGTTTTATCTTGAAGAAGAAAGGGCTTTAACAAATCATCATCATTGTTTATGATTTCAATATCCGTGTTAATACACTGAATGACAATAATGACAACAATACAGTTCATATGATGCGAAGTAATGATATATTTACAGTACTTATCATGATCACAATCGGCTAAAGGGTTATCTAAAAGGATATTTTGCCATAATGGAAGGATAGAATAAATACACATTGGTGTGTGAATTGTGAATTTCTCTCTCTGTCTTTCTGTCTGTCTGTTTCTCTCTCTTCCTGTCTGTCTTTTTTTCTGTTTCTCTCTTTCCATCTGTCTCTCTCTTTGAGTGTATGTAAAAGGCTACATAGCCTCGCACGTGTGTGTATGTAAACCTCGTTCTGCCAAGCACTATCCCCTCAGAGCGCCCTAACCCCCCTCCCCCTCCCCCTGCGCCCCCAGTCCGCGCTGCCCAGCCCCCGGGGGAGCAGCGCCGGCCTCAGCAGGATCACGCGCAGGGCCAACTTCGGGATCCCTGAACTCACGCCCATCATGGACGACTCCTTCCGGCTGTGGGAGGAGATCTCCGAGAAGGCCCACGAGGAGCTGATAAGGCAAGCGAGGTCTTGGTTCCTTCATGGCGGCTGTCCTTGGAGGAGGGACCTTTTCTCCTGCTCTCTCCTCCTCCTCCTCCTCTCAGATGTCGTTCCTTAATCCCCTGTTCTAATAGAATTATATGATACGCCGCTTGCCATACACACTTTCAATGCGCAACTCACATTAAATCCCTTCCGTGGAATCCTCACTCTGCCCCCCTCCCCCCATGCTCCCCCTCCCCCTGCCAAGAGAACTCACCCCCTCCCCCCCTCTCCCCCAGCCCCGCCCCCCATGCTGGTGGTGGGGAAGGACCGCCAGATGCTGGACAAGATGGCGGCGTCCGTGGAGGCGACGGGACACGCGCCGGTCTGGCTCTCCATCCAGCAGACCAACGCCAAGTACAGGTGAGTGAGGCTGAGGCGGACCGAAGCCCACAGGGTCCCTCGCTGCCAAACGGGCGCCCGGGAATCCCCCTTCAGCCTAAGGGTTTCCAGGACCTCAGTGCGGGGAAGGCGAGAGCAGTAGCAACTCGAGGAGGTGTCATGGCGTCTGATTCTATTTTAGGAAAAAACTACATGGGGTTTATTTTGATGACGTCACAAAAGTTACGGATGCTTTGTGAATATGGTCGATCATTTTGGTCTTCAATTTTCAAGAAAGATGGAAAATAATGATTTTAATTATTATATTTTCACTGAACGATCATCAAAACAGACGCCATGACACCTCCTCGAGTTGCTACTGATCTATCCATTCCCGCCTCAGTGCCCGGAATGCCCTAGGATCTCCCGTGCCCGCTTGGCCTTCCTCGGCGTAGGACCAGAGTGGGGAAGGAGAGGGCGACCCCGGATGGAATTCCTTGAACCCGAGAAGCGGGCTTGGCTTTGATGGACGTTGCTAGAATATTCCTAAAATCAAGCCTTGATGCTGCTTCACGAACTTTATGCCGTAAAATATTTGAAGAGATATATAACGTAGAGCATAAGATGACATACGATTCGCTTCTCTGTTTATCCAGGTTTTATGAGGTCTGTTAAACGCTCTGCAAAACAAAACCAGAATCAGCTAAACTAGGAATCCTTAAACTAAAAGCTGGAATAGATATAGAGATACTGTGATACGTGTTTCAAAGAGACAGACGACCCTTTCAGATCCAAGTTCACCGACGACTACTACGCCTTCGAGGACCCGACGGCCGGCGTCCTGAGGTCGGACAGGTGCCTGCTGGCGGTCCAGGTGAGAGGCTGTCGGAGTATCAGTCGCGGGGATTTTCATGGCTGAAGAATCGCTATGGAGTCCCTCGATTTAATCTTTGTTGGAATACATTGTCTTAAAATTGTGAAGGACTCGTCTCAGCGATAGAGAGAGAGGGAGAGGGGGAGAGGAGAGAGAGAGAGAGAGAGACTGCATGGCCGACCAGCACTGAGCTCGGCCCCGCCCTCTCCCCGCAGAAGCTGTTCCGCGACGAGGGCGGCCACGTGCTCGACGGGTGGCCTGTGGTGGGCGTGGAGCCCGGGGAGCCCTGGACCAAGATCTCCGGGCCCAGGGGCGTCGTCAGGGCCCGCTGGCTGGTGCTGTGCCCGGGGCCCTGGGCGAGCCACGTCCTCCAGCACCTCGGCCTCTACTTGCCTCTCAGGTTCCGCTCCGACTCGCTTTTCCTCCAATGACATGCAATCGCCCACGCATTTTCAAAGATAGAAATATACATTCTGGTACACATACATATATCTAGCTATTTATTTGTACTCCTTTACTTCTCTTTGCCCCTTTCTTGCACTCTCTCCCCTTCTGTTCTGAATTTCACCACTTTTCCCTCGACGACCCCCTCTCACGAGCTCCCTCGCGCCCGCAGGTCAGTAAGGACGACCTCGCTCTACTGCCGCAACGAGCAGTTCCCTTTCTCGAGCTTCGTGGACTGCTCCGTCGAGAACAGCCACTACTATGCTCTTCCTGCCATGGAACACCCGGGGCATATCAAGGTAGGGATGTGTGAGGTGAATCTGCTGTTGTCTATTTTCACTTTATTTGTGTATATATAGTATGTATGTACTTTTATAATCTTATTATTTGTGTATATGCAGTATGTATGTGTTTTTATAAATTTAGTAGAAGAGGAGATACATTTGGTGAATGGTCGAATACATGGTTGAATGACATCGTTGGTTTCAAGTTAATTAACATGAACAAATTATCAATTATCAAATGACTATTATGTCCAACCTGTCAAATGTATCTGCACACTTGTCTATATTGCAAAATCTACATATTCCTTCACTGACACTGGATGCATTGGAACCTAAGCCCATCCGGCACCTAATTGAGCTCAAGTTGACAGACGATTCAGTTAATCCATCCCTTTCTCTCCTCTCCTTCGTCCGTTTCATCTTCCTTTCCCTATCCCCAACCATCTGCCCACCCCACCCCTCCCCCTCCCTCTCCGCAGGTGGGCCTCCATGACGGCGTGGAGATGGACCCGAACCAGAGCCAAGAAGTCGACATCTCGGAATTGAGGCAAAAGTCGCTCACTTACTTCAAGAATTACTTCCCGGACTTGGCGGAGCAGTTCGCCTTCGAGCAGCTGTGCTACTACACGGTGAGTCGAGGGGAGGGGGGGGGGTTAAAGGGAGAGAGAGGGAAGAGGGTGGAGAGATAAAGGAAAAGAGAGGGGAGGGGAGGAGGGGAGGGTGGAGAGATAAAGGGAAAGAGAGAGGGAGAGGGAGATGGAGGGAGAGAGGTGGAGATAGAAGATAGATATAAAGAGAAAGAGAGAAAAGGAGCAGAAGGAGGGAAAGAGCTAAATGTAGAGCTAAAGGGAAAGAGAAAGAAGGAGAGGTTAGGAGCTCAAGGGAAAGAGAGGAGAAAGGTGGAAAGAAGAGGAAAAGATGAGGAGGAGGGAGAGGGGTGGAGAGCTAAGAAAGAGGGGAAGAGACTGAAAGGGAGAGGGAAGGAGGAGAGAGAGAGAGAGAGGGAGGAGTGAACGAAAGAGAAAGAGGGAAACGGAGAAGGAGAGGAAAGGAAGGGAACAAACATATATGTATAGATAGATAGATAGATATACATACAAACAATGCAAATTATATATATATATAATATATATATATATAATATATATATATATATGTATATATATAATCTAAACAGAAAGACGGAGAGATAATCAAACAAAGACAGAAATAAAGTCAGACAAATTCATACAGCCAGATGGAGAAAATACAAGTCCATGTAGTTATCCTTGATAACTCAAACGCAAATCATCGACTTATATTCGATTCGATAGCCACTCCTCCTCCTCCTCTTCCTTCTCCTCTTCCACCTCTTCTTCTTCTTCTTCTCTCTCCTCCTCCTCTTCCTCCTCCTCTTCCTCCTCTTCCTTCTCCTCCACCTCCTCCACCTTCTCCTCCTCCTCCTCTCCTTCCGCAAACGCTAATCACCCAACCGCCCAATTACCTAATCCCCCAACCGCCCAATCATCCAATCTCCACTGCCCAATCACCTAATCCCCAAACGCCCAACTGCCAAAAATCCAACCACCCAATCACCTAATCCCCAAGCGCCCAATCACCTAATCACCCAACCGCCCAACCACCTAATAACCCAATCACCCAACCACCCAATCCCCAACCGCCCTCTAACCCCCCGCCCTCTCCCGCCGCAGTTGACGCCCGACGAGGAGTTCATCCTGGACCGCCATCCCCGCCACCGCAACGTCCTCTTCGCCGTCGGATTCTCAGGTCTCGGGTCCCTCGTACTCGTGCGGGTCTCGTGGGCGTCGCTGGCGTTGTTGTTGTTGTTGCTGTTAACGTTGTTGCTGTTGTTGTTGTCGTTGTTGTTGTTGTCTTTGTTGTTGTTGTTAACGTTGTTGCTGTTGTTGTTGTTGTCGTTGTTGTTGTCTTTGTTGTTGTGTTGTTGTTGTTGTTGTCGTTGTCATGATTGGAGCTGTTGTTGCTGTTCTTATAAATGTTGTTGTTGTTATTATCATTGTTATTCTTCTTATCCTTTCACTGAACCCGCACTGTTCTGTGCATTGCAGTTCCCATTACCTATTACTTTACTCTTTTTACTGTTTACTCATTACTCTATTCACTCATCACTCATTATTCATAGTCATTACTCTACTCTTTACTCATTACCCTTCAATCTACTCATTATCCTTTACTCTTTACTCATTACTCTTCACTCATTACCCTTTATTCATTACCCATTCTTCATTCCTCTTTACTCATCTTTCATTCCCCTTTCCTCATTCCCTTCCTCCTCCGCCAGGCACGGGGTTCAAGATCGCGCCCGTGGTCGGCGAGGTGTTCAGTCACGTGATCCAGGGGAAGGCGCCCAAGCATGACGTCAGCGCTTTCGCCGCGAAGAGGTTCGATAAGGACAAAGCGATAAAGAGTAAATATTGAGGAACTGGAAGGAGGCAAGAGACGTAGAATTGGATAGGTAGAATTATGTAGAAATGTGGGTGACTAAAGTACATTATAGTGTTATGTTTGTTATAGAAATAAAGCAAATAGGAATAACTATTGTACAATGGAAAAAGGTAAAGGAATATCTGTTATATTTTGATTGTATGCATAAAGGAATGTTAGATTTAGATATGTAGAATTGGCTATGTAGAATCATGTAGAATTGTGGATGTGTAGAGTACAATTTAGTTATTTTTTTGCTAATTATAATAAAAAAAAGGTCCTGCAGAGCGGAAATTGACAAAAATTATCTCTATATTTTGTATATATGAAGGAGGGAATTTGGGATTTAGTTATATAGAAATATGGGTTGTATATGTGTCTTATGAGGAATAAATGCGTGTTGTGATATAGAGTTTTCATTTGTGTGTTGAATCTAATGAATTAAAAAAATGTCATTGTCATTAACAAAACATGGGTATTCCTGGAAAATTTAAATATCTGCTTCATATTACCTTGCAAATTAATAAAAGGAAATGGAAGTTTTTGTATCTGTGGAAAGCCGATTCTTATGTGTGTGTGTGTGTGTGTATGCAACATTATATATGTACACATACAAAAACACACATACACACACGCACAGACACACACACACACATACATATACATATATATATATATATATATATATATATTATATTTATATATATATTATTATATATTAGCATCAATCAGAAAACTGGTCAAAGTATTTTGATATTAAATTAACATCAGCATTATTTAAACTTTGATGACCTAATATTGAAAATGAAAATGTAAATGCATCAAGCACTGGAAAAGTTTTGTATTCATGTGGAATAAATTCGATAATATATGTTCATGTGTATATTCAACATATTACGATTCATGTTCCTGTTACAGCGAAGGTTTTTTTTTTTACACAAACTTTCAATGGATAGATGTTATATTCCTTTATTCTGTCTTTCGTTCAGGTTATTTTGGATTTTCAATTTAATCCCCGTTTTTTACACCACCTTAGCAGAGCGTCCATAGGGGGGGGGGGATGGTTGGGTAGTTACCCCTCAAAAGACTGCTTCCCCACTCAACGTATGGCCTCCCCCCACCTCACCAAAGGTTACAATTTTAACCTTTTTTTAAACTTTATCACATCTCTGTAAGTCCGACAATAGCTGAGAAATAACCCTTGAATAGCTTTTTTCTAAATTTTAGTTCACTTCTTTTGCTAATCCACTTTTGCCCTTCCCAAGAAAAAGTTGAAATGACGCCCCTGGCCCTTAGTTATATTTGTTTCATAGATAGATAAAATAAAAATGTTTCCCCAATAAACTCTCCGTTTTCTATTGATAAAATTGAATACTTTAGTTTTCTATGAATACCGAATCACGATGGTAAACTATTCTATAAACCTACAATCTTGATTTTGAACTGTAACCTGAATCCCAAGAAAATAAAAGTAAAACAATACAATTTCAAGACTACTCTTCCAACAACTAACAACCATCTTAGATAAACCATCTTCACACGACAAGTTAACAGATATTCAACAAATTGGTCCCTTTTTGGTGCATTTCAGGAAAATGACGATCCCCCCCCCCACGTCTGCAGGTCATAGACAGGTAAGCAAAAAGGTAGAAATAAACCATTTGATTGTTAATGGAATATAATCATTAAGCGGACGTTGAAACCAAGGCATGGCAGTGAAAGGTAGAAAAAAAACAATTGATTGATAAATGAAGAATAGAGTCGATAAGTAAACGTTGAAATCAATATCAACCAAATACTATAATCACATATTTAAATCGATAATGATACTCACTACCCAATCATTCAATAATGCCCAAAGATGAAATATATAATATAACAATCAAATATCCGTATCATAATAATTGTCTTATGGAACGATAATATGATAATAGACTAATTACTCCAAACGTTCATGATATAATCAAACATCACCTAATAAATACCGTCATAACATCAAACCACTAAATACAGTTAAAATAAATGATATATATACTATATGACAACATACTAATATCAATATAAAACAAACAATAACATTTAGAAAATCAATTAATGAACTAATCTATCAGCACTCCATCAAACTACATACTCGGCACTACATCAAAATGAAGACATATAATACATCAGAAACACAATCAATCAAAATCAAGAAAGATAAAACAAATCTGAAATAATACGACAATGAGTGAATGAGTCAAGAACGCAAAAAGAACAAAAAAATAAATAATAATAAATACATAATAATCCCACAACCAATCACAATACAACATAAAAACTCAAACTGAAAACACAGAAGACTCAATTTACTGAAAATCTATACCACATACAATGTATTACTGTATTATATTACTTAATATAATTACCAACTCCATCCATTATTCGTTAAATTATACACCATTTATTATAATCATGGTTAAATGTAACAACCAACAA